GATAGAGTATTTTTTTCTAAACAATTTATGTATTAAAAGTTTTTTTTCTAATTACAAAATTGGCATATGAAATTTAAAGAAAGAAATTTAATATTTACGAGTAGGTAATTTTTTTGACAAAATCTAAACTAAATTCAACTTAATGTTACTTATTAATATCCAATATTGTTAAATACCTGTTTGCACACAGATTAAATAGTAAAAACAACTTTGACAACATTTGCCAGTAATTAAGATAGTATAACACTTACATCGTTATATACATTTATTCCTCGCAAATATTAAACTTCATCGTTAAATTTCATATGCCAATTTTGTAATTAGAAAAAAACTTTTTATACATACATTGTTTGGAAAAAAAATACTCTATCCGAGTATGTAAAAAAAAGTTGCAGTTGCCATTTAAAAAAAAGTAAGTTGTATCGAGGATGCGCTTATTGAAAGAGTTAAAAATTTGAAATTTTCCTTAAAATGTGTATTTAAGTACTATCTGTCATTCAGCGAAAATCCCATTTTAATACGAGGTCATCGAACTGAAGTATTTAGAGGTAGGTACCTCTTAGCGTGAACAAACTGTGTACTTTTTTTTTTTTTAATTTTTCTTATTTTACGACAAGCAAATCTCGGCACCATATTCGTTTTAACCTTCTTAGTTCTTGGAGGGTTACCGGGGAGTAAGCGAAGGTGTAAACGTTTGTAATATATTTTGGCTTCATCATGCACTAGTGGCATTTTTAGATTTGAGTGAATAGTATGATGAGATACGTAGGGAGGGGCATTTAATAACTTACGAAATGCTATATTTTGAAAAGTTTGGATTTTGTTTAGGTTAGACTTTTTTGCGTTACCCATACCCAGATACCCTAATAAATTAGGGTTGCCAACTTTGGATTTAGAAAATACCGGCCCAAGTGTATACAAAAAAAAAATGTCATAATTTTCAGTGAATTTTTAATATTAATATAATAAATTGACGAATAATATAATTGATTACATACGTTAAAATAAAAAAAATTAATAATATTTATATTACATTATGTTAAACTTTAATTATAAACTTATAAATTAACATAATAACTATTATAAATAAACTATTGTAAACTTTAAATTTATATTTAGTGACATTTTTCACGGCGTTTAATAAATGTTTTTCATTTTGTATTTGATCAAAAAACTCTGAACAATTGTATGTTATGTTATTTCTTATGACTAGTTCGGCTTTAACTGTATCAATTCCTAATCGATTGCGGTCGTCTGTCCACAAACTATTCATGTGGCTAAAAACGCGTTCAACAAATGCATTGCTACACGGCACCAAGAATATATATACTGTACAATTTGTTTAATATTTTTTAATTGTGCAGTAGATGATTGGAAAAATTTTACCCATTTTTCCGAACTAGTGAATTCTGTGTTATTTAGGATATTATTTGGTAATAACTTTATCAAATTAAGCTCTTCATACAGTTCATCTCCATTGACATGAACCTTAATTAATTTGGCTAGGTCAAGTAAATCTGTTAATTTAGGTACCTAATTAACTTAATTTCAAACACGAAAACATTTTGAATGGAGAATTTTCATAATCAAACCATTTTTCGAGGTATTCTAATGCACGTTAGGGTCCCTAATACATAAAATTAAAAATTATAAACTACAATATCAATTAGTTGATTAAACATATTCTTTTACATTTGTATTATTGTTCGAAGATTTTAGATTCTGAGTGAAACGATGAATGTATTGATTTTACAATGATGTGTGTTTTTTTATTTTTGTTGTATCTGTGTACACGATAAGTAGTCGAAATAATGCTTCGATTTTCGACTTCAGTATCTTGTTCGATTGGAAAGTGAATATCGTTGGTGCATTGGGGAGGTCAAAATTTAAAATTCCCAGTACTTTTCAAAAGCGCCAAGAAAAACAAAAGAAAAATTAAGGAAAAACGGGAATTTTTACGCAAAATCGATTTTTCAGAAAATTGAATTTGGTTTTTGGTGTAACTTTAAAACAAATGACCGTAGGTACATGCAATTTTCACTAGTTGTTTATATTTGCATCTTCTATACACGATAACATTTTCAAAATATTTTGATTTATTTTGAACAGTTAAGGGACATTTTCATTTTTCATTTTTTTTTAGTTTTTTTTCTAGAAATATCAATAAAATGTTATTTGTTGGTTGCGAAAGCTTGAAAATTTAATATAAGGCTCCTAATATATTGTTTCAAAGGCAGATGAAAAATATTAAAAATCCTTAGTCACAATTTTTTTTTATAAGCATTTAAAGTTCAAAAATTGACAAAATATGGAAAAGTCACGAAAATTAGCAAATTATTTTGAGTTAAGAATTCGTAAAAATTTTTCCTTTTAAATCTAAGATTTGAAAATGTAATACAAGATTACTCATAAGTTTGTCTACCTGTATCAATAAAAAAATCTCTACCGGACAGTTAAATTAAATTTTTATGAGCGTTTGAAATTCAAATTTTTACAACATTGGTTATTCACTCGATTTCTCATGTAGCGATTTCCTTATTTTGTTGTAATTCAAAAACGAATAACTGTAGATACATGAAAATTTCACTGAATGTTTATATTAGCATTTCCTATACACCATACGATTTTGAAAATATTTTGACTCTTTTTGAGCTGTTTACGGACATTTTCATTTTTCAATTTTTTAGTTTTTTTTTCTATGAATATCAATAAAGTTTTATCTGTTGGGCCAAAAAGTGTAAAAATTTAATACAAGGCTCCTGACATATTGTTACAATATCAGTTGAAAAATATTAAAAATACATAGGCACAATTTTTTTTTATAAGCATTTAAACATCGAATTTTCACAGAATTTTTCAAAATCTCGAAAATTATTAATCATCGTAATTAATAAATTATAAAATGTTCAGTTTTTATAGCTAAGGATTGAAAATTTAAAACAAGATTCCACGTAAGTAGTTAATTCTCTTACCGAAAAATCTAAAAAATATACAATCACAGTTTATTTTTATAGTCATTTTATGTTCAAATTTGGATGAAATTACATATTAAAAAACCTAGTTATTTTGTTGTGATTATATAATATTATTCGTGGGTACCTACTTGAAAGTTCTAAAGTGTACTATTATATATCTATGATAGTATCAGGGTTTGTTATTGATGTTGATGTATAACGTGTTATAAGTACCTAATGGATATTGTGATAATGTAATATGATTAATTTGGAATTTATTATAGATCAATTTTTTTTTTTAATACCATAGATATGTATATAATTTGTCTTAAACCTAGACTGGCATACCGTCTTCGCTCAGAATCGTTTTTCTTATACAATGATATTGTATCATTGAATTCAAATTTAAAAGCATCCATTATACAGTGACCCACTTGTAACCTACTGTACAGCAGAGCGCCAGAGCGACATCCACTTACCCACCTTTTTTTTTTTATATGATTTTTTGTATTGATCATACTACTTATATTAGGTACCTACTTTATTTGTTTATATAAATAGGCATACAGGCATATAAGTAGGTATTCAAGCAACATAAAATACAAGTTAAATGTTAATTTAGAAAAATAACCTACCTTCTTGCGTAGTACTTATTACAATTGATTCTAAATTCTAGTATTGTATTTATAATCAATGCGCTACCTATTACGTAATTACAAAAAATAATATTGGATTTTTAGCCGAACTTTTATTCTTTAGGCTTTAATTCCATCGGTCTTTTACTCTTTTAGGTTGAGTAAATAATATATTATCAGTGTTAGGTAATAAATAATATTTGAATAAAAATGTTTACAATAATATTAAAATATTTTTATGTTAAGTGTATACTACAGTTGGTAACAGAGTTGTACTGTCAAAAGAAAAAAGTACACGTCGTGTGTTTACATTTTACTATTTATGAACAAGGTGTCAAGGTGGTCATAAAGTAATAGCATTGTTCTATGGTAATAGGTTATAGGTAGATGATAAGTTGGCCTACCTATTCTAAAGTATTGTAACAACGAATCACGATTTAAGTATTTCTTAAATCGTGCCACGAATTAAGATATATAAAGTAATTAAGTATTACTATTATAGTATTAATAGATATATTAATTCGTGATTATAACAAAAACTACTAACTAGTGAAAAATGAAGTGCACAACTACACCTAAGTTCTCACACCTCAGTATCTCGCTCCATAAACAATTTTCTGGCTACGATACGTCGGCACTGTTGGGAATGTTGGGATCACGATTAAAAATATAATGTCTTTAATCGTAAATCTTGGTTTAAGATAATTTATGTAAAAAGTGTATCAAACTTCAGTCTCCAAGGCATATAATATATAATATAAAATAGATTAAATTAAATTAAATCGATTCTGTGCTATAAGTTTATGATCCAAGGTGTATTACAATTTACAATCACAGTAGACCTATAAAGTATAAAGATAGTCATAAGCATATTGCCATATTATTATCTTTATTGGTCTATAGATAATAGATACAATATTGAACATAATATATTATTCAATACACCTTGAGGCTTGAGTAGTTGAGTCTCGAGCAAGATTTAAGATATATTTGAGGTATATCGGTATATGGTATATCTTAATTCGTAGTCTTGAGTGAATGCATCTTGGTCCGTGGTGTTCAATGATATTAATATGTTACATACAAATTGATAAAGAATAAAGCTTATCGTTATCACCATAGAGTTTCTAGATAACCATATTGTATCATTAATTGTATCGTCGGTCAAATTTCGAGTTTCGACTGTATAACATTGGTACTTGGTTTAATGAATATTGTTTATTCAGTTTATTGTTTTTACAAATTTTCACTGTGTTTTTGTGTTTGCCAATTTGCCATCTGTTTTGTATATTATACAATGATGAAGTCTATAAATCGAACTTTAGTAAAAAACAATATTTGAACATACTTACATTTGAATTTTTGACCATTGTTATTTAGATTAATTCATCTTGAACTATATTATAATATTATGATATTGTCAAATAGAATTTATTTGAAATTGCTTATTGTTTCTTTGTTAAGCTTTTGCTATTCGCAAGAGTTTAAAGGATTCGATGACACTATACTGTACAAAATAAATTGGCCAGGTAAAGATGTCACTGACCGATTGGTGAAGGTAAGTTTTAAACATTTTAAAGTTTGAAATAAATAATTATTTTTAAATAAATATTTTAGTAATGCACAGTTGTAAATTGCAATTAAGAACAAACAATATAAATATAAATTCTGTTATTGGAAAACATACTACTTATTTCTTGTTTGATGTCTATATAGTCCCCTAACAAAATCTATGGTCTATTTATCCTGTATAATGACTTCATTTCAGGAATAATACCAAAATTATAGACATTTTTTCAAAAAATATGCAAGAGTTATTTTTTTAAGAAGTAGGTACCTCTTGAAATCTTCTTGATATCCAGACTACACATACAATTCTAAATATTATTTCTGAGTTAAGTGGCCTGGTACCAAATTTAAAAATTTTCCTCAATTCTATACAATTTGAAAATCACATTTTATATTTTAGTTGCCTCCTTAATTTTAATACTTTTCAACTAATCTACTGCCTGGTACCTATTTAGGAAGGGTTGATATGGCTTATTACAATTTTGATAAATATTTATTCATCTGAAAGAAGAAGACTTCCTACGGACCTTGAAGTTTGAATTTTATTTTATTTAAAATAAAAAAATAGCTTAAAATAGCTTTATTTTTAAAGACATATTATAAAGTTTGAAATTAAAATATTGAAACACTAAGTTCAATGTGATTTGTAGAATATTACCCTCTATTAATAAAAAAAAAAAAAAAATTATCAAATTTTGTTGATTCTACAGGACAGGATTATTATTCCCATACTGTATATTTTTATAGACAAAATAACATTGGCACCAGGCACCTTAGTTTAAATTCATAGGACCAGTAACCTGACATGTTAACACCTGATTACAATAACTTATTGTTAATTTTTCAGGAACAAGACGAAAACACGTTAAATGTAATAACAGCTATTGGTGAATCATATCAGTGTATTTTACCAAAGCAAGATGAAGTAAATAAAGAATCCGACACAACTTATAATGGACCTAGCCCATTGGAACTATTATCACCATTATTCTCAAAACAAGCTTGTTCTTATAGAGTAAGATATATTCTATAACTACCATATAAAATATTTAAATTGCAATTTTTTTTATTAACAGGTCGATACTTATTGGATTTATGAGGTATGCCATGGGCGGCATGTCCGTCAATATCATAACGAACGAGAGGGGAAGACACAAAAAGAGCAAGAGTACTTCTTGGGAAAATGGAAAATGTTTGATGGTCTTAAATTAGGTAAACTAATGTACAAAATAATTTGAAATCAATTTGAGACAAATTAATCAGAAAATGATATTACTAGAATAAAGTATAATAGGACATTTGTGTTACTAAGTTACTTCATTAAATTATGTGGTTTTACAGAGGAGGAACTGAAAAGATTAGCAAATTTAAATTATCCAGGACCAACGAAGACAAGAAAAGTTGATGGTGTAAACTTACCCTATTTTGAAATGAGCATGTCTGATGGCACAGTTTGTGACCTCAGTGGCCGACCAAGACAAACCAATGTCTTGTATGTTTGTTATCCTCAAAGTAAACACAATGTGTTTTCAGTAAAAGAAACATCCACATGCCAATATGAAGTAATCATTTTAACATCCTTTTTATGCACACATCCTTGGTACAAGTTAGTATACATTATTCAAAATTAATAAATAGTATATTCAATATTATTTTTATAATACTAATGTTTCTGTGCTATTACGTTAAGTTAATTTTTAATAATTTAAATAGGCCACCAAACAGTGATGAATTAAATATTGATTGCCTTCCAATTGGTGATTCAATGAGTAAACCCCACAACTTGAAAGTCCTTCAATCTGATACATCTAAATTGAAAAAGCAAATAAAAATGCTAACTGTAAGTCCTAACTAATTTTATTTTTAGTATACATTTTGTACACTTTGCTTACCAGTTGCATGTTTTATTTATTATTTTTTATTTTTGAAAGTATTTTTATTTTATTATTTTTAAAGGATCCTCTCAATAAAAAGGAAAGTTACATAATTGCTGTTTCAATAGATAAGGTTTAATATTTTTTTTTTTTTTAATTATCTTGCTTTCCATTTTTTTCTTGATTATTTTTCATTTTGAATTTTATTTATAAAACAGCACTTTAAACAATAATTTTTTCTTATATATAAATATTATTTATTTTTCAAGAACGGAGAAACCAAAATACAGGTTAAAATACAACCAAATAAAGAATCAGAATTAAATTTGTCAAAAGAAGATTCTTTATTAACGCACTCCAAAACACCAAACAATGAAATTGAAGAATATGTTAATGGAGATTTATGTTTATATGGAGTAAGCAAAAAATAGCATAAAAAACACATTGTCCAATGGTCTCAATAGTAATAATGCGCATATTTATTATAGGGTTCTGGTTGGTGGAAATATGAAATATGTTACAATAAATATATACGACAAGTGCACAAAGAAAAAGGAAAACCGGATGAAATTGTTGTTTTGGGAATGTTTAATATAGATGAACATATAAAGTGGGTATCTCAAAATCCAGAGAAAAAACCTAAACTTGATGCTTTTGGCAAGAAACAAGTTATATCTCATTTTTACTCTTCAGGATCTGTCTGTCAAAAAACTGGTGAAAAACGAGAGACTGAGGTAATTAATAAATATTATTAAGTATTAACTATACAACTGTCAAAATCCCTACATTTTTTTCAGGTACGGTATAAATGTGTCAAAGGTCGATATAATGAAGAATCAGTAGCACTCTATTTGTTAGAGCCAAAAACATGTAAATACATCTTGACAATAGAATCACCGTCACTATGTGATATAATTAATGGGCCAATGGATGAATATGGAATGTTCAACATAAAGCCACTTTACGCCGTAGACAACATAAAAATTAATACTCCATTTCAAACACAAATGTTAGATAAAACAGAGCAATATTCTGAAGAAAATAAAAAAGATACTATTCCACATGTTGAACCAGAAACTGAAGTATCTAATGATAAAAAGAAAATTGTGAAAATTGAGTTATAAAGCACTGCACATTATTATTGTTTATTTATATATTTTGTTTATTATTTATTAACTGCCAAATAAAATGGGTCCATATATAATTTTTGGAGAATGAATAACTATATGTATATATTTTTTTACAACATAAATAAATAAAATTGTACATCAGGCAGTGTTAGAAATGGATCATTTTATGAAGCAGAAAGCTTTTTTATTTCAAGTATTCAAAATTGTTGTGGTCCATTTCTAAAATGTTAACCTTTTTTTAATACTGAAGTTGTACTAAGATAGATCCAGGGGGTGCTTTGAGGGCATCCCCCTCTCACCTTCTCAAAAAAATATACTATAATTTTTCATTAATTATTGAAAATCAGCATTGCAAAAATGTTTTAAATTTAAGTGCCCCCCATATAAAAATTCTGGCCTTGAGTTGTATACTATTCGAATGAAACTAACCTCAAATTTTTTAGGAGTATGGGGAAAAAACACCTTATAACACTAAACATTCAATGATTATGCTCTAAATATTCCAAAGTTCCAATTTGTTCTATGAATTATCAGAATTATTAATATTATATTTTATTTATCATTTTTTTCAACATAATGTTTTGTCCATCTTCAATAAGTTCAATGTAATTATTTATTTTTGTACTATTGTATCATATTATTTAATAACAATAGGTAAGTCTGGTATGTACACACAACATTGGTTTTAATTAATCATATGAAATTGAAATAAAAATAGAAAACTTTATATTTATATCGATTCAACAACCTGGTTTACAAAACCAGTTAGCGCAGTGGGATAGGCTAACCAACTACTTAACTGGATAGAATTAGGTATAAATATCATCAGGCGACAGCAACTTGGTTTAAATAGATGAGTAGGTGTGTTGCAATAGATAAAGGTCTGAAACTATTCACTTCCCTTCTGCTAGCCAATGTGATTCTAATAAGACCCTAGCAAAATCCATTCTCCAGTTTCGGAGATCTACATTACTAAAGAAAAATCTAGATACATAAATACATTTACTGTTTTTATAACAGTTAATTTCATTTTTTTAAATTTCAAATTTTTTTTTCTTGATAAGTTTTTTTTAATGTGCTATGACCAACTTTCTGGTTCTTCATAGTTCAAGTTAAATGTTAATAACAGTGTTCAGGGTTGAAATTTCGACGTTTTCCTGGATTAAAACAACATACCGCTTGGGTATTATATTGGATCTATCTTGGCATTATCTTATAGCTAGCACAGAGTAATATTACCCTATGTCACTACGAGGATGAGCTATCTTCATTATTCACCCACCGCAGATTTATATATAGTATAAGTGTTTCTCATAATTCATAAACATGTTATGCTTAAGAAACAAATTTGAGTGCAACAATACATACATAGGTATATAACGATAGTTCAAAAAACACATATTGTGGATGGTGTATAAAATAGCATCGGTTATTCTATAGTTCTAAATATTGTTAACGGATTGTACCTATAATTTAATTATTTACACAATAATAAAAAAATATACACATATTATTATATGCACATGTATAAATGCGTAATAGTACAAGCTAAAAAATCTAAAGAGGGTCATGGTTCAAAATAATGCATATATTTTCCAAATAACGCAAAAATTATGAATAATTCTCAATTCCTACACTACACGGGTTAAAGTAGTAACCATCGAACAAGAACAATAGCAACCCTTGAGTACGCAAGGCAGCCCATGGCCGTTTTACGTTTAATCGTGAGACTCATTTCAGTCATTTCGGAACGTTTTTTAATTTTTTCATGCAGGCGGCCGTACGAGTTTGATCTCCTTATAATTCTAGTCTTCTAGTTGTTCTATGTGAGATGGGGGTCGTTCTCCGACAAACATAAATTTGATAACATAATGTAACCTCAAATATTGTCCAATACCAACATAATTTGAATTAAATTGATATTAGGGAAATGTTGTACCAAACATACTACCGTACTTGTCGAAGTATCGGACTATTATTGAACAAAATATATTACAACATGAACATACCAAATTATTATTAAGCTCTGGTATTTTTATAAAAATGGAAATTTAATCGTTATCAAATTACATTAAAAGTAAAGTAACTTGGCAATATAAAAATGTATAATGCATAATGAAAACGAAATACATTTTTATGACGATGACGACGAGATCCATGAATATTTAAATTAATTTAGTTTAGTCCATATACTGTATATACGAGTGTTGTCCAGTTAAAATACTTGGTAATACTTGGGACTTTAAAAGTATTAAGTAGTAGCTTAATGTTGCAGATTTTGGTCATGATAACACTAAGCATATTGTCACACCGCTCATTAACATTCAAACAGGGCTAGAAAAACATATTAAAATATTTATCATGTTGCAATTAAAAAAAATGAATGCTTAGGAATTATGGCCCAAAGGTGGCCAAGTTAATAAAATACAAGATTGATAAATTAATATACAATGTATTATTTACCTAGGAAAGTTAAGTTGATTAGAAAATGAACTAACTAGTTTCCAGTGTTGTAAGAAATACTTATAAAAATAAAATATTTAAAATACCACCCAAATTAATTCTAGGTATTAAGGTATATTAATTATAAATTTTATATTTTCGTTTAGCAAAGTTAGTAATCAGTAATCACACAGTATATTTTACAGCCAATAAAAATGTGAATAATGAGTATAGCTTTTGCTGAACGGCTATAATATATTTTAAATTGGTACCGTTTCATCGATGGTAAACTGTATTCTGGAGAAAAAAAATTTAATTAAGCTATAAATAGACAAAAAACAAGACCGATATTGAATTGTCCATAAATTAATAATGATTTATATAATATTATAATAAAATTAAAATTAAAGGAATAAAAAAAAAGTATTTAAAACACCATTTAAACACTTCAAAGTAAAAAGTATTTAAAAAAGTATAATACATTTTGAAGTTTAAATGAATAAACATACTTCTATTTCAATGTTTTTTCTGATACATATTAATTCAAATTCAAATTTTCAACATTTAAAGATATAAAAGACTTGTGAATTTAAATCATAAATTTAAGAATGTTGTTATCTTGCCCAAGTTTATTTGTATAATAAAAAAACACATTAAAATATCTCTCACATAGCCGTGTACATAATATGGACAATTACAGTAAAGATATCAATGATCTTTTAATCAAAATTTTATCTTATTAAATATTAAGGGGATTCCATACCGTGATTTTCTGTACTATGTCACGCGTGTGTTAGACAAAAATAGAAAATCACCGGGTGGAATCCCCTTAAAGCATGAGGTAATATGGTATAATATAGTATAATCTTTAACAGATATTAGGATCTACCTGAATATCCTATAAAATAGCTTTATAGATATTATACAATATATTACTTCTCAATGACCTTTACAATAAAGGGTATAAGCTTTAGTAAAATATTATCTATCTTATCTTTTTCTACATTTAATACATTAATAGACTACAAAATTGTACATCAATTGCATGTGCATATTATGGTCATTGCTCTGTCATTCCTTTTGAGCTTTGAGTGTTGTATTGTTGTATACTATTTCACTTCATATTGAGACTTATTGTGCAAGTATATAATTATCCAATATGAATAGAGAACATTTGGATGAGCATAATTACTTTTTGAATCTTCCTGAACAAAATATTGAGGATGTAGATGAAGAAGTCAACGGTAAGTACTTTCTTACACCAATTTGTATCATATTTTTTTAATATATAATTATTAATTAATATATATAAAAATAATAATATAAAAATAAAATAGAAATTATTACATTCAGTTCATTTGTATGGCGTATATAAGGTATTACATTGGAATTATCTATCAATTACATATTAATTTTCACTATATTTCTACAGTTCAAGAACAAGCAATGACATACAAAATAATTCCTGGTGTGAGACTTAAGTCTCAAATATTTGTGGACAATTTAAATCACCGATACTACAAAAGTAAAAGTCGAATTAATAAAATGTGAGTAAAAAAAAAATTATTTTGAGATTTGGTTTATAATTTATAACTATTTAGATATTTAGTATGCGAAAACCAAAAAAATCGCGGAGAGTTTTGTTCTGCCACTGCCTATATAAGCACAAACATCAACGATAATGTTATAACGGTACTAGGACAACACAACCATGATCCTCGGTTAGTAGATGTTCCTATGGTTCATTTGAGAAGAGCTATTGGTACAGCAGGTACAAAACCTGGAACTATGTCCAGCTCTGTTAGAGAAATTTATAACAGAGAAATAGTCGAGTATGTTAAAGAAGTTCAATAATACATAGTTTTAAGTTTAACTAATGGCCATGGCGTTGCTGCAGAGTATTGTCATAACTTATAAGAACAATAAAAAAAAAGTAATAATAAAAATAATACAATTATTTACTGCCTTAGAAATCCAGAAGGTGCAGTAAATTATACATTTTTGCAATCCCAATTGTGTGTAAAAAAAATGCGTCGGCGCCGTCATCCAAAGAACCCTTCTACAATCGAAGAACTGATAGATATCTTGAGCCACCAGCAAAATTCAGCATATGGATCAACAATGCAGAATCCATCCTCAAAGTAACATTGTACAAGCATTATCTATAAAAATAAAATATTTTTATAAATTTTTATTTAGTTTTTTTCAACAACAATTACCATTAATGGCAGAAGGCGAAAGGGTTGGCATAGTTTTTGCAAATTTAGATGCTATTCAAAAGTATAGGGAAGAGCTCTTTACAGTAACCGTTGCAGGTATTGATGGGACTTTTAAAACGGTTCCCAGATGTCCACCTCAGTTCACCAAAGGTTGTCTTTTGACATTTCAAGTGGTTTTAAAAAATGTAGTAAGTACAATTAGTATAAATAATTTAATTTTTCTGAAGTACATACCTATTAACTGTATTTTACATTTAAGTCTTTTCCAATGGTTTATGCGCTAACTTCAAAAATGACCCAGGCTGCATATGAATCGTTTTTGATAATTACTCGCCAGATTTTGCCATTAAACTATGCGGAGCTAGTAATTATTTCAGATTTTGAAAGGGGTTTAATAAATGCTGTAAAATCAGTCATTCCTGAAAGCAGATATCAGGGGTGTTGGTTTCATTATTGTCAAGTAATTAAGTATAGTTACCTAATATAATTCACATAATTTAATATATATTTTCTAGTCTATAGTAAGGTACTGCAGAAGGACTATGAATAGTATATTCAATCTCTTCCAATCCATTCCTGAGGCGGCTAAAATATTGCGCATGGTAATTTTTATCAATAACGGATTACTGAAATTATAAGAATATTTGAAATAGTGTAGGTAATTATAAATTTAAATGTTTTACAAACATGTCTGTTATAGATCTTAGCCTTACCTCATTTGCCAGCAGAAGTAAATCCCAATTGTAGGTTCACAATTTTTGATGGATTCAGGGTAGTTGTTGAATTTGCCAACCAACATCCAAACATTTCTCAACGTTTGGAGATTTTTCTCTTTGGTTATGTTCAAGATTTTTGGCTAATACAAATTGGCGCTGCATCTATAAGTGTCTACGGGTATGAGAATTTTATATAAAACAAAAAAAAAAAAAAAATAGAAATAAACTACTAAAGAGTTTTTAAATACATACACTTTTTAGTTCTGATGTCCGCACCAACAATTATTTGGAGTCATTTCATGCAACACTGCTAAACCAAATGGGAAAACATCCAAATATTTGGGATTTTTTGCGTAAAATCAATTTTGTAAAATAATATTTGTTCAGAAATTGGAAGTCTAATCTAACTATCTACCTAACCTATGGATTTGTATTTATTTGTTTAGTGCTGTGAATTAAATGTTATGATTCAAGGTGGTTGGTTAAAATATGTTAAATAATAATAAGTAGGCAATCAAATATTTTATTTTTATTCTAGAAAAACTGTTGCTGATTGAAAATCAGTTTTATATTGAAATGGACCAAGTTCGAAGAAACCTTACAGTAAATGAATGATTTCATTTTATTTATTTATACCTACCTGTATATTTATGGTTTTTTTGTTATTTTTAAATGTTAAGGTTAGAAACCATAAGTCTAGAGTAGACAGAGCAGACGCAACGCGTAGAATAAGGGATTATATTAATATATTAAATGAGGATGGGAACCTCTTAATGTTCCTTCAAAGAGCAGGCCATATGATGGACGGTTATCTTCATGGGCAAGTTGGCCCACAGCCATAATTCACCTAATAAATTATTATAATTATTATTTTTAACATTAAGCATATTTACATTTTATGACAATTTTATTTTATTATTAATGCTTACATTTTTTAACAATTTAATCAACTATTTATAATATTTACATTTTTGGACAATTTAATTTTTTATTTTATATTATTACATTTTTCAATATTTATTGAATAACACGTTTTATAAGTTGTATTTTAGATTCATCGAGTAGCGATGAATTTATTGGTTTTACAATGATTATGTGTGTTTTATTGTCAATAAGCATAATTTAAAACATTTGTATTACCTATTATTATAATTATTATTATTAACATTAAGCATAATATTAACATTTTATGAAAATTTTATTTTATTATTAATGCTTTACACTTTTTAACAATTGAATCAACTATTTATAATATTTACATTTTTGGACAATTGAATTATTTATTTTATAATATTACATTTTTCAATATTTATTGAATAACACGTTTTATAAGTTGTGTTTTACGATGATTATGTGTTGTAAAACAATTTACAAACCGTAGAAAAAAACTTCAGAAGTTAACATTATAAATTATAATACCTTACCAGTTACCGTAGAAAAAAACTTCAGAAGTTAACACTAGTAACTTGTAACTTGTTAGTACTTTCAGCTTTGTTATTTGTACATATGGTTTTTTTAGAACACTATAAGCAGTAGTTTTCCGGCCGTATTATACAATGTAGTATAAATTAAGGTTAAACCGCCGATTTAAAGTTTTACGAAAATGAGTTTTGATATTTTGTTTTTACAGTTGGTCACTCTGACTGTCGGAGTAAAAATTGGTTGTTATCATTTGTCGGAGAACGGCCCTCGTCCGGTTCTATGTTCTATGCTACAAGCGATTGGCAATACTGGTAAGTCAATCGGTCGTTCGGGCACTGTAAAATCGTTGATAACAATGATAAGAGGTCAAATATAAAATACATATTTTTACCTTTGCTAAGTTTTTAATTTTTTTTTGGTAAAATTAAAAATGAAGCCCATTGTAGATTATGAAGTGGCAGCCACTGTAGATCCAACTCCAATAAAATTGTTGACACCAGGGACTGATTTCCAAAAATACCACACATCATGGTTGGAAGACAAATGGTTTCCTTTCATGGGGTTCGTATTGGGTGCGGGTTCAATCTGGTACACCTATACAATTAATAGAAGGCCATTTTATTCTGGTGAGTTTTATGTCATATTAAACGCAAACTTTATATGTATTTATATTGAATAAATAATTGTTGTATAGGCATACATGTAAAGCTAGGCGCTGGAATTGTTGGTGCTACTGCCCTCTATTATTACAAACAATATAGAACTTCATATTTGGCAGACAAAGATGCTATGTATAGACACTACATTCAATTACACCCTGAAGATTTTCAAGCTCCAGGTCTGTAAATCAATTTACATAATGGTATATAGGTATATTTATTTACTAGCTGATCCCGTGCACTTCGTTTCCCGTTAAATGTACCAACTCTATATGACTCAAACTTTGTTCAATTCTTTATTTAATATTTTATGTATGGTGTTCAAAATTTATTTTAACTCTTCTGTTGCCTGGGTTAAAAATTCTGATTCACAGCAGTATATCAGGTAGGCAATCTACCTGCGGTAGATCGCAGACCCCGTGCTGTTTGTACGTAATTTTATAATTTAACCAATTCATTTTAATAGTTAATTTTTTAACCAATTTAACCAAAAGTTATACCAATTATGTCACTGAATTCTTCCTAAACGACTGGACTAATTGTGAATGCCGAGTCTGTTGACCAATATTTCCTCCTCATCCACGAAGACGTGGCATTGTTGTATGTACGTAACTTATATGTGAGTATAATACACTAAATACTTACGTAATTGCTATACATATAATATCAACAAAAAAAAGCATACAAAAAAATTAAATGCATTGAATGAATACACTGATTTCACGGCAACCAATAATTATTATTATAATTTAAAACCCATGGCAACCATTTATAAACAAAAATTTCTACCGTAAATCTCTAAATCCCCGTTTGAGCACATACCCTGGTTGGAACTAGGGAGGTGAATTGTAGCCTATGTGTTATTCTGATGTATAAGCTATATTATTGTAAAGTTTCATTAAAATCCATTCAGTAGTTTTTACGTGAAAGAGTAACAAACATATTTACAAACTTTCGCGTTTATAATAATAGTAGGATTTAAAAAACATTTTTATTAGTTTTTACTATATAGTCAATTATCACCCGAAAAACAAATTATTTGCCACCTGGTTTTTGGACGTATTAAAATAACACTTAAAGGGGATTCAAAACAGATTATTTTCATTCCAACATAATGATCAATCTAATTTCAACATCAACATTCATAAAATATTTTGTTTTTATACCTAAGTCTTCAAAATTTAAACAAGAATCCTCTTAAGTTGATCTTACTGAAATTAAAAATAATGGCATAAAGTAAAATTACATGCTCATGGCACATTATAATATGACAAGTTTTATAAGTTTTTTATTTTAAAACAATTTTAAGAATTTTAGGACTTTTTAGAAAATATTATAGAGTAATTTATACAATTTGATAAAAAATTACCATATACCTCTAACATATAATATAAACTAAAAGGTCAGATAAATAAATAATTATAAAAATATTGTAAGTGTGGAGGGAGGGTATAACATATGATCTTCCCCCACTAAAACCCACATAATTATGCTTATGATGTCGACATGATATGTGGCCTGGATAATACATTTTCCCTTCCTGAATTTTTCTCCCATGCCGTCCCTTACTAACATTATATATTATATTAAGGGGGCTGCAGCAGTTTTTGTCAAAAGTCAAAACTAATGTAGGTTTGACCAATCTAAACATTAATTTTGTTTGTTATAATGTTTTTCAATATATTTAAATTCCGTATGACCGTATCATAAAATAAACCTTAAGGTGGCTGGAGGGGGCTCATGTCAATGGAAAAAAAGTGACTTTTAGACCAATAAGCTAGACAAAACTGGAAGAATTTGGTTTAACAGATTTTAATTTTGAAAACGGATTATGATTGATCAACAAGTTTACTAGGTTTCTATCAAGGCAATTTTGAATATTCCAATTATTGTTAGTGTCATAATGAATAATATAAATACAAAAATATCATTATTTTTCGATATTTTTATTCTTATATAGGTATCACAGCTGAAAAAAAAAAATTCAAAATTGCCTCAATCGAAACCTAGTAAGCTCGTTGATCAATCATAATCCGTTTTCAAAATTAAAATCTGTCAAACCAAATTCTTCCAGTTTTGTCTAGCTTATTGGTCTAAAAGTCACTTTTTTTCCATTGACATGAGCCCCCTTAATATATTATGTTATAAATTACTCGAACTTGCATACTCCTCAAATCATTTTTGTGATACATTAAAAAAAAAATCGGGTATATAATTAAAATTGTTTTGTTCCAGAACGCAAGAAAGTTGGCGAATTATTCAAGGAATGGGTTCCTGTACGCTAATTTCTAAGAATTTTCAAAATTAAAATTAGTTAATCAGAGATAAATTTTCAAATTTTATATTGTTAAAGTGTTATAATATGAATCTTTGAATTGTAAAGAAATGTAAAATGTATGGCTTGTAGATTATTTTTACATACAGTTAATACAGCTGTAATAAAACAACAATTATCTATAGTAACAATTGTTTATTATTCAGCTATTTCATTAAAAAATATTTTTTTTGAATTCTTAATTAACATATCATAACTTTTTTTAAAATATGGATATTAATTACTATTCATTATTACGTTTGAAAAGACATTGTACCAAAGATGACATACATAGAGCGTATGCGAGTTAGCTAATTTATAATTTTCAAACAATTTCATTAACATTATTTACTACAATTTATAGATTTGGCAAATTAGCAAATAGTCAAATTCAAAATTGTTGTTTGGTTAAGTTGTGTGAAGCATATGAGGTATTATCTGACCCATTTCGTCGAGCTATATATGATGAATATGGTGAAGAGGGACTTAAAAAAGGTGTAAATACCAATGAATTGTACATTGGTCCATGGACCTACCATTGTGATGTGAAAAGCACATATTTGTAAGTAACATAGTCAGATATTCTAGTGGCGTAGCCAGGTTTTTTTTTGAGGGAGGAGGGGGGTGATAATGAATTTACACAGAGTTGATTTAACTAGGGTTTCCAATAAATCATAAGTTTAGAATACTGATGTCAAAGTTTTATTTTAGGTTTTGGTTCCTTTACAGCTGTAAAATTTGTATTTGATGTAATTGTCATAAACCATTTTTTAACATTTCGGCACCCTCCCTGGCTATAGGTGCAATTTGAATTTTATATTTAGGGAGTAGGGGCTAAAATTTTTTTTTAAACAAATCTATAGCGATGCACCCCAACACTCATTGCTTAAATTATATTCTAAAGACAGTAGCTGGTTTGATAGGAACTAATAGTAAGTAGTAACTGCCTTGTTATTGCTATTATTTATATTTTGTAAACTATCATCATCATACAAATATTTTTTATACAAATGGTTAATAATATATATTATATAGCGCTGTGAATTTAATGGATTTAAAAACCTTAAATCCCAAAAATTGCTCTAAAAAAACTAGGACGCTACACAGATATTTGTTGTCTCCATCTTACAAGTGCATAACATAGCAAATTTACTCTTAACAGATCACTCTTATTTTTAAACTAAATCAGTTAAACGTGATTTGCTGAGCGCACATTTGGTATATTACGTAAAAATGAATGATATTCATTGAACATGAAAAGCAATTTTGAGCAAAGATAGTCAGCAAATATTTTACAATAATGGTTGAATTAATTTTTGCCAAAAACATTGCACTAATTATTATATATTATTATTATTATTAAAACTTTACATCTTTAATAGTTTAACATATGGTCTTTTCTCTGGAATAACATATCTTAACAATTTGATTCGCGATTTAGATATAATAGACCCAATATCCTCAAAAAAACTTGGTTTTTTTGGATTGTGACGGGTGTACAGCTGATTTTAAAGGGTGGTGGGGGTAAGTTAACCTTTATGGATAAGCCCCAACCCCTAATTTGTGAGTTGTGACTATGAATTTAGTTTCTCACATTTTATGAAATATATTTGACTTTATTTTAACAAAATGTACAATATTGTAGAGAGTATTGTATGCATAATAATCCAATTACTAATTTGTTCATTAAATCAAATGGTTCAGTAGTTATCAATTTAAAAAAAGATAAAGGTGGACCTGATATTGTGAAGTTGCGCCTTCAATTAACATTGAACGAAGTAATTTTGTTTGGAAAAACTTGATTAAATTTGTATATAATTATTAATTAGCAAATCATTTTTAGATTTTTAACGGATCAATAAAATCAGTTGAGCTGAAAAGAAAACCTAGTACTCTTTGTGATTCAATATCAAATAAACTGCAAGTTCTGAAAATAAATATACCACGTGGATTTCCCACAGGAGGAACATTAAAGTCTGAGGTATCAAAGCCAGACATAGGATACAACAATGTTAAAAGTATTATTTGTATATTACAATTATTACATGTCTGAAAATGTGAATTGAAAGATGATAAGTTAATTTTGTTAATGTATTGAATAGCTGTATACATATTTACCACGGAGGATTTACCCCATAAAGTTTTTAAACGAGATAAGATGAATTTAATTATGGTTCAAAAGGTTTTGTTGAAACAAGTATTACTTGGTATAAGAATTGTTATTAACACATTAGACCATAAAGTATTAAGAGTAAATATCACGGAAGTTATAACGTAAGAAATTAAATTAACTATTCATTATTATACCTATACCTAGTTAAATCATAGATAAAGTACCTAAGACATAGATAATTGCATTATCTATGACCTAGGAGGACGTTATACCCACATGCGTATTGTCTCCGTCGACCGTCTTCAAAAATGTACAACATAACAAAAAACTGTTTTGCGAGGGATAGAACCACTGACTCCCTCGGTATTTATTTATCTGGGTCGTAGGGTTTTTATTATTTGGAATTTGGATAACATAAATAAAATTAAAGTTATCAGGATTTTTTTGATTTAATTATTAAAAATTATTGGTAAATGCTATTAAAAAAATAAAACGCTACGACACAGATAAAATTGTTCCCTATGCGTTGTGGAATTTTGGTAATTCTACTATACATACCAACTCAGGTTCTATCCCAAACAAAACAGCTTTTTGCTATATTGTACATTTGTAAGACGGAGTCAACGCATACGGGTTCACGTCCTCTTAAATCTTAATGGATAGGCCATCAAACTCGATGTTCCAAGTGATAATTTGCCACAGTTTTCCTCCCCTTTCACGCCTCTCCATGAACACGGCCTCACTTGAGATAAGCATTTAGCATAGTCGTGGCCTATCCATTAGCCATTTCTTTATTACCTATCTATGAGTTCAATAGACAAGTAGACCATAATTATACAACCTCAAAATTAATTATTTTTAAAATGTTTAGGCAAGATTATGTAAAATTAATCCACAATGAAGGTATGCCTGATATGAATGATCCATCACAGCGTGGTGACATAATCATCCTGTTTGACATAATTTATCCACTTTATTTGCCAATTACAGATGACACATTTTGTGAATTATTGAACGACAAAAATAAATACCTAAATAATAAGTAGTTATAATTGTTTTATGCATATTATATAATATTAGTATTATCATATTATGTTAATTTTATTTTATAAGAAAATATATTTTTACAAAATAATTCATATTGTCAATGCGAATTATTTAATTTTGTTAACCTTTTAACACAATTTAATTATAGAAAAAATAAAAATCTACCAATTGGTTGCTATTGCTACATTGCCGGTTTTTACATTAATTTATTGTTGATGGAACAATCAATTGGTCAGTTTCAAAATTTTTTTTTTTTTTTTATTGGATAACCCTCGGCAACATAGGCCATTGGGTATGCGGGGGAACTGTGAGTTTTATATTGGGTAGGCTGGTACACGTGTGTGTGTTGTGTTGAGGCAGCATTTTTAATGGGACACCCGTTGGTTTTCTGCCATGCCCCGGGTGGGGGATGGCGGCTCTTGTTCTCCGGACACCTTGACTTCCCGAAGAAAAATGCTGCCCGTGGCCGGAAATTAGAATCGAACCCGGGTCGGGTGCGTCGCAGCCCGACGCCTTAGTCCACTCGGCCATAGGCCACTCCGTCCTCCAGTTTCAAAATTGTTATGCTGTAATATTTCAAATTAATAAAAAAATATGAATAAAATAATACCATGTGTTTTAAAAAAATAATTATAAGTTGTGACTTATGAGCTATCCCTATTCTCTGATGTAGTTTTCGTAGGAAGCTCCTATAAATTTCCTATTGATCTTTTAGTTTCGATATTGACAATATCGGGCAAATGAAAATGAAATCTCGGTAAATTATTTAAAATGAAACATTCATTTTAATGTATTCTGGATTTACTTTTAGATTCTGAGTGAAACGATAAATGTATTGATTTTACAATGATGTGGGTTTTTTTTATTTTTGTATCTTTTATCACGCTTTAGGGCAGTAAAACTGCTTCGATTTTCTTTAACAGTATCTTGGGAAAGTGATTATAGTTTGTGCATTCGGGAGGTCAAATTTTAAAATTCCCAATAGTATTCAAAAGCGACGGGAAAAACAACATAAAAATTAAGGAAAAACGGGAATTTTTACACAAAATCGATTTTGGTTTTTGGTTAGGTCTACAACAAATGAACTTATATACATGACATTTTCACTGGTAATTTATATTTGCATTTTCTATACACGATAAAATTTTCAAAATATTTTGATTTGTTTTGAACTGTTTAGGAACATTTCCTGTTTCCAATTTTATGAGTCTTATTAATGGTAGGTATATGTAATTATACCATAGTAATTTATATACTATGAATGTCAAGAAAACTTTAGATATTTGTTGGGTAAAAAAAGCTTTGAAATTTAATACAAGGCTCCTACTATGTTGTTACAATGACATTTGAAAAACATAAAAAATCCATAGTCACAGTTTTTTTCAAAAGCATTTTAGGTTCAAATATTGACAAAATACGGAAAAATCACAAAAATTACCGAATTATTTTGAGTTGAGAATTCATAAAAATTTTTCTTTTTAAATCTAAGATTTGAAAATGTAATACAAGATTATTCATAAGTTTGTCTACCTTTATCAAAAAAAAAAAAATGTCTTCAAGCAAATCAAATTAAATTATTATGAGCGTTTGAAGTTCATATTTTTACAAGATTGGATATTCACTCGATTTCTCATGTAGCGGTTTTGTTATTTTATTGTTATTCAAAAACGAATAACTATAGAAACATACAATTTTACTGAATGTTTTTATTTTCATTTTCTATACACCAAAAAAATATGAAAATATTTTGACTTTTGAGCTGTTAACGGACATCGTCAGTTTTCAATTCTTTTAGTTTTTTTTCTATAAATATCAATAAAATTTTATTTGTTGGGTAAAAAAGTATGGTTTAGTGAAAGTAAAGTTGGTGGGGTAGTGACAATTTAATGCAAGGCTCCTGATATAAAAATAGCAGTTGAAAAATATTAAAAATACATAGTCACAATTTTTTTTATAAGCATTTAAAGTTCAAATTTTTATAAAATTTATCAAATTAAAAATTTAATAACTATTTTGAAGTTAAAAATCTATAAAATGTTCAGCCTTTATAGCTAAAGATTAAAAAATGTAAAACATTGGTTTCGTTATTTTTACTTTCAAAACGACTTAAAAATAGCCTCATGAACGAGCATATTTCAGCTGCCTTTTTCACTTTTTATATAAAGTCTAAAGGAATAATATTAATTAATAATTTTTATTTTAGTATTTTTTTATTAACTATACAATATACCTAGCACTAGGTGTAATAATGATAGGTAGTTGTATATTTATACCTTGTTCAATATGCTGTTATTCAACGTACCTATAATATCGCAATCTACATATAAGTTATAACATAAAAATTGTGTATAAGTATATTATACCAAGGTATATAATGATTATCACCCATTTATATCTACATTATACATGGCGACAAAAATATACCATAATCAATTTTTTAAACGACTGATTGACGTAGGTAACTTCTTTTTGTTGCACTGAAGTACCTACTCAAGTAGTTACCTACTGAACTTCCTATTGAAACCTTCATTTGGAATACAGAGAAGTAATTGGTAAAGAATCAAGATCGATTTGCTGCACTTTCGGTTGAATCATAGAATACATTTATTTTAACATACCATTATTTCTTACTAATCCAATAATTCTTAAGTACTTTTGACCTTTTTTTATTAGACAGATATACCTTTTTTATTAAATGGGTTGCATTCAGTGCTCGTCGGCCGTCGCACAAATTGGGAATTATGAAGTAGAGGAGCTGAATCAAACAATTTAAGAACTGCGTTCCAGTACAAAATCACTCAACACAGACCCATGGGGCCTCTGCCCCCCTTCCTCAATTCCTAAATGTTTAATACTACATTTCAGCTTTATTATATTCCAAATTTAATATTTTTGACTATATAACAATAATGTACATGGATTTATATTTTATAATTTATATTCACCTTATTTTTCCCGAATCACGGAAAAAAAAACCAAGGAAAAAAAAACCAAAAAAAAAAACCAAAAAATAAAAAACCAAAGGAAATAAAAACCAAAAGAAAAAAAACCATGAAAATAAAAACCAAATTTTTATATTTTGCTATATTAATTCATATTTCATTAAACATAAGTTTTAATTTTCTAATTAAAAATTTTGATCAATAATCCAACTGCCCAGGTGTTCTATCTGTTGAACACTATCGTCAGTGGCGTATATTGGGGGTAGGCCTAGTGGGCTGCAGCCTGCCCCCCGAAATTACAGTCTTTTTATATATTTAATTATTTATTATATTTTTATATATAAAAACGAGCTTAACTATGTTATAGACTTATACTTTCATACACTCATGTCTCATACATCTTATATATCTTATCTTTGTACCTATATAATATGGCTATAACTTACGATTTTTTTTATTATTTTATTATTTTTACTTTATTTGACTGTAGACTGTTAGTATTGACTATGTATTATAATGTATTTGACTGACTTATGTTTGTATTGACAATTTTTAAAACGTGAAACTTATTTTAAATTATTACTTATATTATTGTATTGTGACAAATTTTTAAAAAGTATTTAAAATCTATAAAATGTTAATTTTTTTTAATTATTTTTACTTTATTTGACTGTAGACTGTTTGTATTGACTATGTATTTGACTGATTTATGTTTGTATTGACAATTTTTAAAACGTGAAACTTATTTTAAATTATTACTTTTATTATTGTATTGGACAAATTTTTAAAACGTATTTAAAAATTATAAAATGTAAAATTTTTTAAACAGTTTAACCTATTTGAAATTATTATTATTATAATTATTATTATTAATATATATTTAACAGGTAGAACACTTGGGCAGTTGGATTATTGATCAAAATTTTTAAGTAGACAATTAAAACTTAAGTTTAATGAAATATGAATTAATATAGCAAAATATAAAAATTTGGTTTTTATTTTCATGGTTTTTTTTTCTTTTGGTTTTTATTTCCGTGGTCTTTTTTTCCTTTGGTTTTTTTTTTTTGGTTTTTTTTTCCTTGGTTTTTTTTCCTTGGTTTTTTTTTCCGTCTACCATTTTTCCCAATTACATTTCATAAACATTCAGATTCAGTCGCTTAAAAAAGTTATTTTTTAACATTTATATTATTCCTATTTTGATAGAAATAATACCTACATGTTTTAGTAGGAAATAAAAAAATTATAATAATTATCTGTGGTCAGTGGCGTAGCCAGGATTTAGGAATGGAGGGGGGGCAAAGCAAAAAAAAAAAATAAGAATATAAATTATAACATAAATATTGTCAATATGAAACCAATTAAAAAGAGCACCTCTAGGGCAATTTTCAACAGCTGTATACTGATTATTTGGAAAAATAAACGCCGAAATACATTCTGGAACAAAAATATATTTTTACATTGAAATTAGCATAACGGTTGGGAACACACGTAACACGTTCAGGTACACATTTTTTCAGAAACCAAAAATGAATACAACGGTTTGGGTACATCATATTTTTAAAACAATAACACCTTTTTTTTCTATTTTATTTTTTAGATTCTATGTCCAAGAGATACTACAGGAATTCTCAATTCCAAAAACTTCCTATTTTAACCCATTATTACATTTAATATTTTAATTCTTAACTGAGCAAATATTTATTGAAAAGTATTAAATAAAAACAAAATTACTAAATATGATTTGATTAATACATTGTGTATTTGTGTATATTTTAGTTATTTCATTTATCCATTTGTTATAATAGTTATCTTCTTTATCAACCTTATCAAAGTTAAAATGGCCAAAACACATAAAAAAAAAAAATATAACATTAAGACACATTTAACAACTTAGTTTACTGTAAATTTACAATACAAAAAAAGAACATCACAATAAAAAAGTTGTTCAAAATAATTTTATGTTGATGGGTCACCATTTTCATCAAATTTTATTTTTTTATTTGGTTTTTCCACATTATGAGACCTACGTTTCTTATCTTCTGGTGTCCAAAGAGCATGATCGATAAACCTTTCAGCCGCTTTTTTATCAACTCTTAGCATATTTTTTTTGGCCATAGCACCTTTAGCCATATCCATAGTTGATTTTACACGATCCAATTCTCGTTTTATATTATGAGAAGTTGGATCAACACCATCCAATCGCAGGTATACCCAATACAAACTATTCAATGCAAATGCAATAAGTAGATCATGCTTAATTTTTTCCTCTACTGACATAGAAATGTAATCTAAATCCATTCGTGATTCTAGTAACGTTTCAATATCTACAATTGAATGGTCCAAATTTTGAATACTTGCAACTAACTCTTCATCTTTGAGTAATTCTTCATCCAAGTCTAAAGTTGCCATTTTAATTTGATCTAAATTACAAAAATAAATAATAAAGTTTTTTTAATCATACATTTATAATAAATAATAATAATAACGTATTATAGTTTTAGATCATAATATTATCATCAATTATATAGGATACACCCATGTCCCATATTATTGGTTTTTTGGTTGACAAGGGTTTAAGATGAATTTATAGTATTAACTATCAATTTATTATGTTTAGTAAAAAATACAATCATTAGTAAAATTCTTATACCTATCATCTCATTTTGTGTCTGTATACTGTACAGGTACTGCAGCGTTTCTCAAACAGTGGTTCAAAAGCAGGAGTTAAAGTGGGGGGACGCAGGACTCAGTCCCCCTACCTCTGAAGGCGGTTAAAAAGCGTTCCCTTTAAAAAATTAGGATTTTATACATAAAATTATATAGGAACGCTTAAAACTATATGGAGACATTAGTCCCCTCTGGAATTTTTTCCCACTTTAACCCCTGGTCAAAAGTCAACTTGGGATGTCAACTTGAAATAGTACAAAAGGTTTTTAACTGTTGTTAACTGTATAAACTATGTGGGCCACAATAGATTATCAGGTGAACATTTTGGTCACTGTGCTAAACATTTTTAGAAGTATCGGTGCAAGTCACAAGTACCTATTTAAACATCGTCGCATTTTAGTAGGTGATATATTTAATTTAATCTTTGAAATTAATGTAATGACTGTGATGACACAATAATAATATTATAATATTATGATTCAAATGGTCTAATGAAACATCGTAAATTGTTAAACTCACCAAGTTCGTAGTCCTCTGTAGATGGAAAATGGTTTTACCGACAATTTCAGTAAAGTTGGTAAAGTGTGAAATGAACCATAGGTAATTTAATACTATTGTACTATATGAATAGAATGATGCCTGACTCTATATTCTACTGCATGATATTATAACACAAGTATAAGTATATTAAATAAAAAAAAAATAGTATGATCACAGGTATGATATCGTGGCATCGTGCACATACTATTTAGTCACTGATAAGAGCTAACTTATAATCACAGAATTATAATTATAATCACGATTAAAGATATAATATACCCATAGATATATACAACAAAATGAATATACCACACCGGAACCGGCGCTCTTTCACACAGTTATTAATTATTTGCGTAATCCACGTCGCTCTATACTATAAATTATAATCCAGTGTTGGGTAGAACGTAACGAAAGTAACGCGTTACTGTAACGGCGTTACTTACTTTGCTTTTAATGCGTTACGTAATTTCATTAGAATTATTTCCAAATAACGAAAATGTACCTACCTAATGTAAATTACTTTTGAAAATTTAAAATAGGGCTCTACTATAGCCTATAGGCTATGGTTATGTTATGTTAAGATAAATTAAATTATTTATCTCAGTCATCACTGTAGTTTTTGAAAAAACCCTAGTCCATGCACAAAATGTGTCTGCTCCACTTAGCATCCCCTGGAGCAAAGTTATCTAGTGCCGTGCCTAATATACTCCGCGCCACGAGAGAATGCATACGGCACGCGCATACAAATGACTGCGCTCCGCTGTCTCGAGGCCAAATGTCCCCACCATGCGGCAACTGGTCACTGCATACAGCGGTTCCACGAGGATTTCTTTTCATCGGTGAAATGTTGATGGTTCCACTTCCACTGTCTTCGTCCATTGTATTGAAAGAGTAAAAAATGTAAAATCGGTTTAGTAAAAAAAAAATACGGCGCGCGCGTTGTTCATAAACGAGAATCGGTAAACGACAAACGACGTTTTGGAAAATATGTTTGTTATTGTGATCGCAGTGTACACACCTGCCGACGAAACCGGTGAGCTCCGGAACAAGCCGACCGGTGGAGATCGTGCTGGTAAAGTGGAAGGGATGCACGAAAAAATACGTGTTTTGGTCGGCCGCCGTATGCATTCTCTCGTGGCGCGGAGTATAGTTATTAGTATAATATAGTGTACACTGCAAGAATTCATATTTGTTTATATTTAGTTAATATATTATTTAAAATATTCTGTTAATTAAACACAAAATAAATCCATAAAATTTTCAATTTTTAATAAAATCCACTTCAACTATAAACTGTTTATTTTATTATGATTGCTTCAAACATTAATTCAAGAAGACGTTTAGTGGTACAAATATATGTTTTATTGCAAGTTATAAAATATTGAGTACCTAGGTGGCTAGGTATAATATATTATTATAAATAATCATATTTATTTTGGTAACAGTAAAAGATCTGAAGGAGAAAATACATTTATTTTCCAATTTGTTCTACACTTGTGCTGAACTCAATATTGTGGTGATTTTAGAAATCTCTTAACATACGATTTGCCTATGAATGTAGTGTACCCTTATTCAATAATAATCTATGCATAATATGCAGTCTAAAAAATAAATGTTACAAAATTGATACAATTAAAACTAAAATTCAAAGTGTAAAATGTAAATACAATTTAACTGACAAATGTAATTAAACAAATGTACTGTTGTTGACTAATTTTTTTACATACACCCTATTAAAAAACAAATATTCAAGCTCCTAATTATATGTTATAACTAAATGTTATAGCCAAAACGTCTGTTTATAATATACAATCGGTTATATTAATTTATGCTTTTAGATTCTGAGTGAAACGATGAATGTATTGATTTTACAATGATGTGTGTTTTTTTATTTTTTTTGTGTCTGTGTACACGATAAGTAGTCGAAATAATTCTTCGATTTTCAACTTCAGTATCTTGTTCGATTGGAAAGTGAATATCGTTGGTGCATTGGGGAGGTCAAAATTTAAAATACCCAGTACTTTTCAAAAGCGCCAAGAAAAACAAAAGAAAAATTAAGGAAAAACGGGAATTTTTACGCAAAATCGATTTTTCAGAAAATTGAATTTGGTTTTTGGTGTAACTCTAAAAGAAATGAACGTATATACATGAAATTTTCACTGGTTGTTTATATTTGCATTTTCTATACACGATAACATTTTCAAAATATTTTGATTTATTTTGAACTGTTTAGGGACATTTTCATTTTTCATTTTTTTTTAATTTTTTTTTTAGAAATATCAGTAAAATGTTATTTGTTGGTTGCGAAAGATTGAAAATTTAATAGAAGGCTCCTAGTATATTGTTTCAAAGGCAGATGAAAAATATTAAAAATCCTTGGTCACAATTTTTTTTTATAAGCATTTAAAGTTCAAAAATTGACAAAATATGGAAAAATCAGGAAAATTAGCAAATTATTTTGAGTTAAGAATTCGTAAAAATTTTTCTTTTTAAATCTAAGATTTGAAAATGTAATACAAGATTCCTTATAAGATTATCTACCTTAATCAAAAAAAAAAAAAATGTCTATAAGAAAGTCAAATTAAATTTTTATGAGCGTTTGAAATTCAAATTTTTATAACATTGGATATTCACTCAATTTCTCATGTGGCGATTTCCTTATTTTGTTGTAATTCAAAAACGTATAACTATAGATACATGACAATTTTATTGAATATTTGTATTAGCATTTCCTATACACGATACAATTTTGAAAATATTTTGACTCTTTTTGAGCTATTTACGGACATTTACAGATTTCAATTTTTTTTAGTTTTTTTTTCTATAAATATCAATAAAGTTTTATCTGTTTGGCCAAAAATTGTAAAAATTTAATACAAGGCTCCTGATATATTTTTACAATATCATTTGAAAAATATTAAAAATACATAGGCACAGTTTTTTTTTATAAGCATTTAAAGATCGCATTTTGACAAAATTTATCAAAATCTCGAAAATTATCAACCATCGTAATTAATAAATTATAAAATGTTCAGTTTTTATAGCCAAGGATTGCAAATTTAAAACAAAGGTTCTCATAAATAGTTCATACTGTAACCAAAAAATCTAAAAAATATATGAACACAGTTATTTTTTACAGACATTTTAAATTCAAATTTGGACGAAATTACATATTAAAAAACCTAGAATAACTATTTTAGTTATTTTGTTGTGATTGAATAATATTATTCGTGGGTACTTGAAACTTCTAAAGTGTACTGTTATATATCTATGATAGTATCACGGATTTTGTTGATGTATAACGCGTTATAAGTACCTAATGGATATTGTGATATGATTAATTTGGAATTTATTATAGGTACCTATTATAGGTCAAATTTTGGTTTAGTACCATAGATATGTATATAATATGTCTTAAACCTAGACTGACATACCGTCTCCGCTCAGAATCGTTTTTCTTATACAATGATATTATATCGTTGAATTCAAATTTAATATCATCCATTATACAGTGACCCACTTGTAACCTACTGTACAGCAGAGCGACACCCACTTGCCCACCTTTTTATTTCTGTGTCTGTGTACACGATTAGTAGTCGAAATAATGCTTCGATTTTCAACTTCAGTATTATGTTCGATGTTGAAATTCCCAATAGTTTTCAAAAGCGCTGAGAAAAAAAAGCTCCTACTGTGTTGTTACAATGACATTTGAAATACATAAAAAATCCTTAGTCACAGTTTTTTCTTAAAAGCATTTAAAGTTCAAATATTGACAAAATACTGAAAAAACACGAAAATTAGCAAATTATTTTGAGTTAGAAATTCATAAAAATTGTTCTTTTTAAATCTAAGATTTGAAAATGTAATACAAAATTCTTCATAAGTTTGTCTAACTTTATCAAAAAAAAAAAATGCCTACAAGAAAGTCAAATTAAGTTTTTATGAGCGTTTGAAGTTCATATTTTTACAACATTTGATATTTACCCGATGCTTATGTAGCGATTTTCTTATTTTGTTGTAAATTAAAAACCAACCACTGTAGATACATGCAAATTTGACTGAATGTTAATTTTTTCATTTTCTATGTACCATAAAACGTCGAAAATATTTTGACTCATTTTGAGCTGTTTACATTGTCAGTTTTTAATTTTTTTAGTTTTTTTTTCTTCAAATATCAATAAAATTGTATTTGTTGGGTAAAAAAGAGTGAAAATTTAATGCAAGACTCCTGATATATTGTCACAATACCAGTTAAAAAATAAAAATACATTGGCACAATTTTATTTTATAAGCATTTATAGTTCGAATTTTGACAAAATTGATCAAATTTAAAATTTAATAATTATTTTGTAGTTAATAATGTATTAAATGTTCAACTTTTATAGCTAAGGATTGAAAATTTAAAATATGGTTCCACGTAAATAGGTTTTGTATAAATTATTTTATTCACAATAATATCAACAAATATACTTAGTAATACACCAGTGGCGTACGCTTTTCAATGGGGGGCTTGAAAATTAGTAATTTTTATTTTGTCCAGTCTAATGATTTCAAACGTTTATTTGAGGTTTTTTAAAATGTTTGTAACTTTTCAACTTTTCTGGTAAAAAAAATGCTCTGATCATAAGCATCGATGCCCGATGTATGTTTTGGGAAGCAAATTGGATCTAGTTTTTATTGAAGAATTGATTGTTGTTAAATTAATTGTACTTTATTGAGTACAATTATTGAGCCTTTCGATTTTAGAATTTGGATGATAAGCAGATCAATAAAACTTCGAAGGATTGGTATTGTTATTATTATCAGCTCTCGTTCATGGACACAAGTATTCAAAAATGTATATTCAGGAAAAAAATACAGTTTAATTTAATTGTTAATTATAATTTATAATTAAGTAAATGAGTCTTTATCTTTCTAAAAAAATTGAATTACAACTAGTATTAGTATTACACACTAAAGTCAAATCATAAAACTAAATTATTATACTAAGTCTTGAATTAAAAGTATACATATATAATGGTACATATATTGTTCAAATGTTTAAATACTGTAAATATTTAATAGGTTTTGATTAAAACATATTTTTGTGTACTTAAGCAGAACAAGTACAAGCTGCCAAGATTACAATAATAAGATTATCATTTTTAAATATTAAATCTCCAATATTGGGAACCTGTACTCTCTTCTACTGACTAGTATATAAAAATAATAATTAATTTAAAAATTATAGAACTAATCATAATAATATTGTGTATTCATATAATCATATATATTTAATATCTTTATATCACAGGTCACTCATCGCTGAATAATTCAGTGTTTTTGCGTGTGCTCGTAAAAGATTTCATTTTTTTGAATCAACTATTATCTGATCTCCTTTAACTATGTTGTAACTATATAATCTCTTGTTTGGAAACTTCATTTCTTCGGGACCAATAACTGAACACACATGTTGATCCATATAAAACACCCGCATACGGTGTGCTGGTATACCGGAAAATTTTTCAAATTTTTGTTTGAGTTCGTTTACTGTCTGATATACATCTAAAATATGTTGTTCACATTTGTCACCACAAATAATCTTCACCTGAACTTTACTTTCAGGTGTCAAGTCTATATTTACTAAAGGATCAAGTTTTCCGTGAATTTGAACCAATTCATTATACCTGAAACATTTTGACATTAAAGTTAGAGATAATTTTTATTTGGATATCAAAAGAAATGTACCTACAGATTAGCATATCATGCGCCTATTCATATCCTCTACGATAAGTCTGTATTCAACCTAACGTGTTATTAATAGTAAAATAAATAACTTTAATACAGCAATATAAATAAATATTCATATAATGAAATGTACCTAATTAGTAATGTACGCTGACAGATAGTCTTCGCCCAGAATAATATGCAAAGATTTATCATTGAATTCTAATTTAATAAATCCATTACAGTGACCTACTCAATAACGAGGTTCATCGACGCCCACTATACAGCAAAGTGGTTACCTATTTGCCCACATTTTTAGCTTTATTTTTGCAAACTAGTAACTTTACACTATTAACTCATTACATTAAGTTATAACTTATAACATCTTATAAGGCTATGACTTCTTTTAGTTTTATAGTATTTAATAGTAATTATTATAATGCGAAAGTAATTATTATGTGAACAGTTTCACAAAAATATTCTGATAAATTGGTATTATAATATTAAAAATATAGGTTGGCAGATTGCCATTTATAAATTTAAAGTCGAAAGTGTGTTCAAATGCTCAATAACAAACATAAGAGTAAAAATTAACCTAAAGGGAAGTATAAAATGTTAGAATAAATCGCATATTTACAAGTACCTATCTTAGATTATCCCAAAAGTAAATAATTACGGAACAATGCGTTTATTACCTACTTATTAGTGTTCATTGTTAATACTGTACATTTTATTACTATAGATAATTAAAATCTGTACCGATAAAAAAAAAATGTATGAGTTTAATATTTAGTACCTAATCTTTTTTTTACCTCTCTGGTCGTTCGTTTTCAGGTTTATCCATGTAATATCTTATTAAAAACCGTTCAGCATCTTCTCTATCATCAGCTGTAATTTCTGCTCCACCATTCAAAGTTTGTATGCACGTTAATCGTGCAATCAACAATTGTCTGCGTTCGTGTTCTGTGTATTCTTGTCTTTCAGAGTTTTCCTAAAATAAAAACAATCAGTTCCCATTTCCATTTAAGAAATTAAAAAATATAATATATCACTCACTTCGAATATCGGGCAGCCTTGTATCCTTAAGTATCTTAATGCAGGAAAGCGTCCCAGGATGTCAACATCGTCCCACGTTCGAATTAAGGTTCTGTTTAGATTTAGGAATCTGAGATGTGTAAATGCATCGTGTGGTGAATCCAACGTCATATCTTAAGAGCAAAATGCCATGATTATAATAAAATCTCGCATATTTTGTCTTACAACTCACTACAAAATCCACTCCCTTGTCTTGGGTAGGACAACAGTCCTAGGTGAGAATCCGGCGAAGGTGGTGGAGTCATAAGTGACTGCAAGGGACATTCAGCAAGCACCAATGATTCAAGATTTGGAAATGCTCGACCTAGTTTACACACTTCAGACCACGTAGACACAGGGTTTCCTGTAAACGATATATTGCTTAAATTTAGTAGGTATTTATATTAAACAAGTAATTACAGTGAATTATTATATTATAATTTATAAGTATCAAGTACATACTTATAGAATGCATATTAAGGACTCTTAAAGTTAGGTAGGTACCTGTAAAATGTAACCTTTTCACTGAGGGCATTTGAATATGTTGACAATGTTCGTCGTCATCCAAGTCGATAACGTCGTAATTATTCATACTCAAATGTATTTCTTCGACCCTATAGGAGTATTTTGATATAAATATAATTGTCAACCTTTTTAAATTGAAATAAACTCACATGGGTATTCGTTTCAATATGTGCCTAAAGCTGCGCCATGTAATATTTGTAGAATTCAACACGATACTCTTCAAACACGGGTATGTTTCTCCAGTGTCGTCGCAAACCTCAATCGCGCTATTTATATCAGAACTTAAATTGTTAAAACTTAGATTGGCGAATTTCAGTCTCGGCATAATATGTAATATTTTGAATATCTAGAATTTAAACATAGTCAAGAATTAATTTTTAACATAAAGTCGTATCGTACATCGATAAAAATTTAAAAAGAAATAGAAGCATAGGCGCAAATTGGGTGGAGGGCCTTGGGGGTGCTAAGCCCCCCAACCTTAGGCGTAGCCCACCCACAAAAAACCTAGGACATATAATTTTAATATGCTATATTGCAATGGTCTGCTTGCCTTTAATATATTCAGCCCCCCCCCCCCAAGCCAAAAGTTGAAATAGCGCCTATGGATAGAAGCATTCTAAGTAATACCCACCCATATGGTAACCTTGGAAACATGAAAAGGTAACCTTTACTATGTAATTGTTATTTATTAATTATGATATATACCTATGCAAAATATCAAATATGTAGGACTTACTTCACTCCATCTAGACAAACAGTTCTGAGCTAAATCCAATTCTTCAACACCATGACATTTATCTCTCAAGTCGGATTCTTGGCCGGCGGAATCAATATCACAGTCATTTAATACCAATAAATTAGGTATCATATTCCTGGGATTTTTACGTGGCACATATATTGCTATAGGCATCTGATCGAATGTATCGTCTTCAAAACATTCGTACTTCTCTACGATCGCTTCTAAAAGCGACGGCATGGCAACAACTCTTTTTTCGTCCTGTTTCGTTTAAATATCCTGCAACCAAAATAATATCTTTGTTTAATTTGTGTTCACTAACTATGTAATTGGCAAGGATCTGATAATTAAATTGTGTAATATAGGTAGTCAAGTATTTCAATTAGTTTTTAAAATAGTTCATTAAAAATGTATAAAGATGTTATTGATACATTTTGTAAAGAGAGATTATACGGAGATCTCAGATGTAATATTTGGAATGAATTTCATTGTTCCAACGAACTTCCAAAAATTCTTTTTTTTTTATACGATCAACCAATACATTAACCAAATACTGAAGTAAACCTAGGGCAATATCTGTAAATATCGTGAATTTCATGATGCACAAAGCATTATTATATTGATTTACAACTTTTACTTAGGAATACATAAAACAAATTGCACTCTTAAGATGGTAAGTTTATTTTTTTTACAATTTTAGTTTGGTAAGACCATTGTTCAGTGATTATAAAAACAGTGATAGGTACCTACCATAATTTATAAATACCTACATTTCTAAACTAATTTCTCGACAACCAGTGGTTCATATATTATTATAGCCGGATGTGAATGTATATATGGAATATGGATACAAAACATAGGTATTTGACTCACGAGGGGTTCTCAACGAGTCAATGAGCTATGACTTGAGATTAAAGTCACTGAGGCTTTCGTTAGAATTGTCATAGTGGTTGTAAATCAGAACCGGTTGCATGATACCTCGGAGAGTTCACGTCCATGGTGCGCACTGCACGTGTACATAGACATAAGGTATATATGTATAAGGTATGGTAGATTACTATGTATAATAAAAAAAAAAAAAAATAAATAGTAAATTGTACATTTGTTCTATGGGTCTATGTAAGTATTAATGTATGACCGTATGGGTATCTCTATTACGACTCGACTTGTCGAAACAAGTAAGTACAAGGGACTAGAAAAAAAATGGCTGTCTTTTTGTAGTGTGCATAATTTATATACAACCACAGAATTTCATTCATGCTAACCTATTTCAACTGCGTTGTGTGTGAAAATTTATGTAAATTGGCATAGTGCATAGTTATATCTATTTAATTTACCTATATATATATAATTACATTAAACATACCTAGGTATATATTATTACTATGGGTAATAATATATATTATAGTATTTACATAGTAGGTATTCCACAATTTCACATAATACATACCTATATTATAACATATTTTTACTTATTAACTATAATAATTAATATCTTTGGGATATAATGCTTGTATATGTTTCCTTATTATGTTTTATTTAAAAATAATATTGGTCAAACATATTATAGCTGTTGCACAAAATGTTGATTATAATTATTTAAAAATACTATGACTCTCTCATATAGACTAAATACCTATAAGGCTATACATCTACGTATATAATATTATTGTATTCTATTATACATATTACGTATCAAATCATTTATTAACTTAATGAATTAACCAAAGTTAAAATATTTAAAATTAAAAGTATACCTACCTAGCGTACACTGTACTGTCGTTATGCCATTAATGTAACAATTTATACCTATTGTTACCAACACATTTTTTTTGTATTTTTAGGTTCTAATCGGAGTATGATGAATGGATTGGTTTTCCAATGTAGGTTTTTTATTTTTATATTATTTTTCATATCTTACGTCACATTTGGGAGCAGTAATAATGGTTCAATTTTCAACTTCGAGAGAAGTTTCCTGTAGAAAATTAGATCTAGTTGAATATTCGAAAGGGTCATAATTCATCAAAAGAAAAAAATTCTCAGTACTTTTAAAAATAATTGATTCAAAATTTCAAGTTCAAATTTCAACAAAATATTATTTAAGTGTTATTTTTTGTAGTAATTCCAAAAATATAGTTTGTAGGAACTTGAAACTTTTGACACTATGTATATTATTATTAATTTAATGCAAAGACATTTTCAAAATATTAAAATTTCATAAGTTATACCACAAGCGTATTCAAACCAGTCTACCGTACATCGGTCATCGGCATTGACTTATAACTTATAAGTTAATAACAGTTAGTACTTAGTACCTATACCTAATATTATAATAATTACTATATATATTATTATAATATAATATACCTAAGATTTATTTTTAATAAATTTAACCAAAATTAGTTTTAACATCGCATTACAAATAATAATATAAATATATAATAAAATATCCTTAGAAAAATACAGACTAAAAGACCTTCGCTCTGAATAGTTTTTCATATGTAATGATTTATCATTGAATTCAAATTTAAGACAACTATTACAGGAATTACTCAATAATAATGTAAATTCACCACTTACTGTACAGTAGTTATTGATTAAATATATTAAGTATATTTAATCAATGGTAGAATGCACAGTACCCCGATTTTTCAAAAATTAAATCTACATAATTACATTCCAATGACACACAATATAGATTTGTCTCATAATACCTAAACATAAAAATAAATTATTTTGTTCACCATATTTTAAATGGTAAAATTGTACAATACAATTTTGAAGTATTACAAACTTAAAGCCGTTAGAATAAAATAATTGTATCTACCTATACTCATTTCCTATAAACGTATGACTTTGCGGCCTTCGCCCTATATTTTAAAGAAGCATCTTATACCTAAATTAATTTGTAATAATAATAATCTGTGTAATAACCTAATAGTGTGTGTATGTTATAGGTACGTATACAATTTAACGAACTGTTAATGCTTTAGCATGAGAATATGAGATATTCAAATAACATTAAATTTATTCGTTAGGTATCTACCTATAACCTATTTATCCTCGTATTTATCCTCTACATCAGAATTCATATTATGACTTTTAGTGCCTATATATATATATTTACTCAAAAATCGCATACACTATAGTACCTATACGCGTATAATATAAACAAAATCGTGATCTGAAAAAACTCGGTCTTTTATGCTAGGTACTCTTAAACCCGGAAAGGTACACGACCTGTGATCGGGTCAGGAACCTGTGTTGTCATTGTATAAGTCAAACCCAGATGGCATCGTTTATGGTATACCTAAACGACTGTTCATAATGTATTTAGGTATACTGTATATCAAGTATAAACTATATACAAGTTTTGAATATTAATTGGATTATACGTCTGTCCTCCTCTGCACTTTTCATTGTCACTATATAGGATATACAACTAAAATTTGATTAATTTATCTTAATATATTGAATTCACTCATTCAATAGATTTACACCATTCAAATTTGATTTATATAACTATAATGTATTATTATGATGTATAAAGAGAAGGGTAAATATGCGAACGTTATTTTAAAGAAATTCTATGAGTCCCATAGGCGCAAATGGGGGGGGGGGGTGCTAAGCCCTCCCCAAAACTTAGCCGTGGCCCCCCAAAAACCTAGGGCATACAATTTTAATATGCTATACTGCAATGATCTACTTGCCTTTAATATATTCAGCCCCCCCCCCCAAGTCAAAAGTTGAAATTGATCCTATGTCCTATGATGAGTCCAATATCTACTATTGTTTATTCATACTCATTTAATTTATATATTCAGAACAGTAGTTGGCAACCATTTTGGACTATCGGGTCACATTCGAAAATTCAAAAGGTTTTGTGGGCCGGACAAAAATAAAAGGATAATAAAATCATAATAAAAGCATAATTTTGAAGATTTACTTGTTTATTATTTTATCGTATTAATATTATTATAAATTTTGTATTGAATTATTTTTAATAATAATAAATACAATACGTGATTTATTTGTTAACATATTTCGTAATCAGGTACTTGAGGTACCTAAACTAAAGTAAAAAAAAATGTTTATGTAAGTACTGAAACAACTTTATAGGTAGGTATTTTTTTATCATTGAATTTTTGTCCTAAAGTTTTTGAAATTTCATTTTAAGTTCACACATTCAACAAAAAAGAAGATAATAATAATAATAATAATAATAACTATGATATTATGGAAGGGATAATCAAATATATATCACATCAATCAAAACAAAATGCCAATACATTCATATTGATAGCTGTTAGCTAACAATCCCTATGTACTTTAATAATAAACTTATATAATAATATATTATAATATATTGTGATACTTTTATTTAGCTATGCACCTATTTGTTGAAATTTAGTAAAAAAAAACTCACGAGTTCGGTTAAATTATAGTTTACACTTTGGGCGTTTCAATTCAACGGTTTAACACTTAATACTTAATAGTACGTATCACAACTCACAAGTCAGGTACCTCTCAGGTAGTCTTTACCTATTATATTATTATATGAACAACTATTATTCTTTAAACATTAGTTTTCACTGAATCATGTTAAATTTTCCAAAAAAAATAGCGTTACATCAGTTTCTTGCGTGAATAATACTGACGGAGAAACCGTTGACCAGAACGGTTCCTCATACCACCGCGTATTGTTCTTGGCCTGTGTGTAGGACAAAGGAGGTCTGTCACCCAGCCGGTCGGATAAAAGGAACTCGCACGTCCGTTACCGTATCTATATTTTCGTCTTCCACGTGTCAACTCTATTTCTCTCTTTTTACATACACACACATATATATATTATATATCTTATCATATAGGACGGAATAAAATAATACAGGTGTATCATGTCTGACATACTCTAGTCTTCCGCTACAAAACCATTGGAGTTGAAATTATAATATTATCAACTAAATATATCATTTACAATTAAAGCAGTTTCATATGTAATGAATAAACATTACCACATTTGCTGTTAACTATAAATATATTTAGTATAGTATATTATATAGTATAAGTAGTAGTAGTAGTAAATAGTAATAGTATGTACCTACTTTAATACTACTACCTATGTATACACCCGGAGGGAGATCATTATAACATAATATAATACTATATACGATAGCAGTATAATTATAATGATAGGTAAGTCATAAATGATAGTCATTATAATATATATTGTATAGCCACAC